TGAGCTGCCTATCGTACCATGATTATCGATGGTTAGAAAACACATTTTGAGTGGATTATAAATACTTGTGACAGAAAGTTTTTTTTTAACATTTATTAGTAGTTACAACACTGTAAAGTTTTAATAAATAGTTTATTATAAGCTCTCAAAAATATTCATTTATTTCATTTTGCTGCCTAAGAGGGTGTGAATTATCAAAACAGACTTATGACATTTATGGTGGACATGGAATCTAAATGGTTTAATAAATTTCATGCATTTATAGGGTGTAGATGCCATTCATATTTGTCCCTAATCTCCCAGAGCAGGTGAGTGAAGGTTTTTTAGTAGTAGAAAGTCTTTACTAGTACCAGTGTCTAAACTCAACTTGACTACCCACCCTCTGAGATAATCACCTTCTTCTGCCACTACGTAGCAGTGCTAAGAGTGGTGCAGACTGAGCTGTCTCAACTAGCTCCTTCACACTGACAGCAACACCTCACTCCACCTGTCAGTGAACAATAGTCTTGCTTTTCTGGTTCCATATATTCAAAAATATGGAATTGCTTAAATGTAATCTGTGGCTCAGTGGATAGCACTTTTGCCTGAGTCAGAAGGTAATAGGTTCAAGAATGCCTTGAATACAAAACTTAGGCTGACACTCAGTGCGCTGAAGTGTTGCACCTTACAGATGAGATATTAAACTGAAATTCCTCTTAGATGGATCTAAAAGATTTCATGGCACCATTTGAAGAAAAGCAGAGGTGTAATCCCTGCTGTCTGGTCCAACATTTTGTTCCTCAAACAATCTCTCTTAAACAGATTATGTGCTCATTATTTAATTGCTGTTTATGGGAGCTTGCTGTTTATAAACTGACTACTGCATTTCCTATATTATGTCAGTCACTACACTTCAATAACAGTGTTGCACCTTTGGGACATCAGAGGTCATTAAAAAGGCTCCAGTCTTTCTTTAACTGGTTGTTGTTCTGTCAGATGTTCTTGCAGAAAAGGGGTACACTTCCATGACCTACAGCAGAACTGCATTTCTCTCCCACTAAGCAGCAATAAACCTATCAGGAATGGCTCTGATGCTTCAAATCCCACCTGTCCAGCAAATACGGTGCAGCAGGTGAGTCATGGATTTAAAAGAACAGAGAATATTCCCAGTGCATGTCTGATCTAACAATCGGAAAAAAAATTTCAATTGCATTCTTATGACTGCTTTATTTTCCCATTTTGTCTACCTTTTCTTGGTATCTGCAGCCACTGATCTGATTCCTTTCAATTCTTTGAAATTACTTCCATAAACATTTCCTGTGCCTTGTCTCTTTTGTACATCTTCCATTTACTAGCTCATCTGATCCTTTCTTAGTCTTGTTATCAAGAATTATGTGTAAAAGTTGTGATTGATGAATGTGATCACAGAATATTAACTCACCTGTTTCATCTGTAATGGTACATATATCACACAACTATATAGGTATAGAACATTCTGGATGCTTAGAGTGGAATTGTCCGGTAACTCTAAAATTGTTGGCAATACAACTGGAAGTGCACAAGATCTTTGCTTGCAGGTAGATGGCTAGCCATGTGTGATTCTCACTGCAACCAGCTATTTAGCTACCTATAGCCAAGGAACCAGCAAATCTTGCAGCAGGGATAGGCTGGGAGTGTACACCTCCGCCAATACCTCCCTGGGCTGAAGGTTTAAGTGTCACACTTAAAAAGCACATACGCATTCATCTTCTGCAAGCCAGGTGCACCATTCTCATTATCTGAAAAAGTTTGAGAATACTAACTGCTGTCAACACCTCTCCATGCACCACCTGGATCCCTGAAGCTGCTGGCATCTCATATCAGAGCCCAGTTTCTTCTCTCTAGCCACCTGAGAACAGCGGAGGTTCTATTTCCCAGAGTTGGCAGCAGGAGACTTTCCTGCTTCACCAATGTGACCTGGGTGGAGGCTGCAGCAGAGGTTAGTGGCTCTGGTGTCCTTACAAGAACCTGGGACGAGTGCAAAGAAAAATTAACAATATCCTGGGCTTCCAAGGGTAAGTGGTACAATGTAGTCATGCAAAGTGGCACACATAAGGGTATCAAGCAATGTGAATGTGTAAGTGGAGAGGGATGCCAGATAGAAATTTCGGTTGCAAGTCTCATCATTTGTTGGAAGATGTGGACTGATGCATTGGGAACAGAGGACGATCAAGTGAGGGAGGCTGGAATGTAATGAACATGGGTCTTGCCCTTCTACCCTTCCCTAGACCGAGTGTCCACACCCAGTGCCCAAGTGATACTTCTGGCTTGCAAGGAATGAATGCCTGTCTGGGTTCCCTTTAGATTTGGTGCTAAGAACTTTGATCCCATAAGGTAATAGCAGTAATGTGATTTCTTGCCCAATCCAGCCACAAAATTCATCGTGCTCCTTGTACATGCACGACATGAGCCTGCAGCTGTTCAATTTCATGAGAATAGACAGTATACCCAAACAGATGCAAATTTGCATGCCCATTGCCAAACAAAACATTCTGTCCCTTGTTATAGCTTGTAGCCTCAAGAACAGTTTACTCTATTAACTTTTGCTTTAACATTGAACTTTCAACGTTAAGGGCTGGTATCATCCAGTGTTGATGTGGGAAATATGGATCTTTTGACAGCAGCCAGTATTCTGGGTGCTGCCTGTCAGTGTTAGAAATACAGGTATCTTTAAAGGTAAACCAGGCCCCTCGGGGGCAATGCTTGTTAATTCAGTTAGCGACATGAGTAATGTGGTGGTGGTTTATTAAATAATTATCATCATAGAATCCATAGAATTCTAAATAATTAAAGCTAGGTTCTTCTGCACCCTTGAGGTATTTAGAGAAAGTCAAATACCATGGTACTTGGGTGTATTATTTCCCCTTTCAACTCCTTTTTAATATAGCCCCTCCCTCTTTCACTATCCTTCCCTTTTGTTATTGTTGACTGCCTCGGTAAACATTGTTTGTACACATTGTATTTCTAAAGAAGGGTCCCAACCCGAAACATCAACTTTCCTGCTCCTCTGATGCTGCCTGACCTTCTGTGTTCCTCCAGCTCCACACTGTGTTATCTCTGACTCCAGCATCTGCAGTTCTTACCATCTCTGATTGTTTGTAGATTGATATTTTAACTTGTGACATGGGTGACGTGGTGGTGATTCATAAAAGAACAGAGCTGGGTTTTTCCCACTAGCGAGGTTGGCTTCTGGACAGGTTGCAGAAGAGAAAGGTGGAAACGAGTGTTTGTGCAAATTACAAATTTCTAATAATACTCTTGTAAGTCTCTGCCAGTCTTCTGCTGTCTAATTCAACATATGAATATTGGTCTATTAAACACTGCCTGGACCACTTGAAGAAGCACTATTCATAGCTTTTGCTTCTATTAGAAATTGTGAAATTGCCTTAAAACCAGACCAAAAAGCAAACACCTTATAAAATATGGAGAGAATGTAGTCTTCCCTTTCTGTATACAGTGCCCTGTGCATCACAACTGAACTTTTAATTCAAGATAAGTTAGTTCTACAAATTTCATCAGAATATTCTTCAGGCTGTTGTAAAAGACTAAGTGGTGTCTCCTTGATACATGCAAGCATTATATTATGGCCCCAGCACTGGGCTCAATTTTATGAGTATTTGATCCTGAAGCTAACGTAGTAGATATATTATGAATATACCAAAATGTATTCTTTATGGTACAACCTGCATCATCTTCTTCCTTGTGCTGCAAGCTAGGGATCTAGCTTTCGTGATCCAGCAAAATGTTTTATTTACGTTTTGTCTGCACGTAGTCTTGCCGAATGTAACACTACTTTATCTTGGGTTTATGACAACGAAAATTGATTCACCTTTTAAAAATGTTTACCTTTTAGAACAGCAGAAATATTTGAAATGTTTCCAATTGTCTGCATAGAACACATCGAAAGCTGTAAATTAGATTTGATTTTTCTATCTTTGTCTCTTGCATGAGACAATACCAAATTGGGATTCAGGATGAGCTGGCTAGATGGATACAAAAATGGCTTGGTTGTAGAAGACAGAAAGTTTCAGTGGAAGTGTACTTTTCGAATGGAGATCAATAAATAGTGATGTTCCACAGGGATCAGTGCTGGGACTTTTGTTGTTTCTATATATAAAACAACATATATAAAAATGATCTGGAGGAAAATGTAGGTGGTCTGATTAGTAAGCTTGTGGATGACACCAAAATTGTGGAGTTGCAGATAGTGAGGACAACTGTCAAAGGGTACAGCGGATTTAGATAGATTGCAGGTTTGGGCAGAGAAAGGTAAAACAGAATTTAATTGGGACAATTTGAGATGATGCATTTTGAAAGCTACATTAAATGGCAGAACCCTCAGGAATTCCACATACAGAGGGATCTGGGCATACAGGTCCACAGATGCCTGAAAGTGGCAACACAGGTGGATAAGGTAGTCAAGAAGGCATACAGCACTGAATATAAACATTGGCAAGTTATGTTACAAATGTACAAAACTTTGGTTAGGCCAAATGTAGAATACTATGTGCAGTTCTGGTCACCACACTACCACAAAGACGTGGATGCTTTGGAGAGGGTGCAGAGAAGATTTGCCAGGATGTCGCCTGGTTTGGAGGGTTTTAGTTAAGAGGAGAGGTTGGACAAACTTGGATTGTTTTCACTGGAAAGTTGGAGACTGAGGTGAGACCTGATAGAGGTCTACAAAATTATGAGAGGCATAGATAAGGTGGATGGTCAGAGATCTTTTCCCACAGCGGGAAGGTCAACTACAAGACAGCACAGGTTCAAGGCGAGAGGGGGAAAGTTTAGGGGAGAAGTGTGGGGAAAAACTTTCACACAGAGGGTGGTGGGTGCCTGGAATGCACTGCCAGTGCAGGTGGTGGAAGTAGCACATTAGCAACGTTTAAGGTGTATCTTGATAAACACATGAATGGGAGGCAAACAGAGGGATAGAAAACACACAAGGGCAATAAGTAGCGGGTCTAAATAAGGATTGGGAATCAGTGCAGGCTTGGTGGGCTGGAGGGCCCTTTACTGTGCTGTATTGCATTGCATTGTATAAATAGCTTCCTTGCTTAAAATTGATATTAAAAACAGTTATTGATACAAGGCAATAAATAATACACTATTAAATTTAAACATTGGCCTTTGAACTTTTGAAAACTAAATTAAGTGCATTATAGTAACCACATCATATTTTTGTAACCATGTGATTATTGAATTTGACTTCAGGATTTGCCAAGACATTACACAGTTAACAAACTGTTGTCATATGGAATGTCATATGCTAACATCAGATGCATTTGTCTTCAAATCATTACTTTCTTAGTCACCAGCTGTTGACTGTAAAACCTCCTAACTCCTCTTCTTCTTCAATGGGCAAAAGCTGTTTCAACATGGCCCGCAGTGTTTCTTTTATCATCTGGATTTCTCTCTGTAGATGCTGTGGGCATTATTAAGGATGAAACATGAAGATGATTAGCAGTTACTTCCCACTGAAGTTATTAAGTGAATGGAAATGGCTCCATAAGTATAAGCAGGCACAGCTAAAATAAATGCATTTTCAAAATAATTCTAAATATTTGGTGATTAAATAATTTTTACCCTACGTAAAATACTTTTAATTTTACTATTGGTTCATTCTATATTTATTAATTTGATTAACAGACATGAATTTCTCACCAATGAGTCAAACTTACTTCATGTCAACAACATCTTTTAAACATCCTTGGTGTTCAATAGTTAACTGACAGCAAGACAAAAAGTATACGATTTTAAAAAATTCTGTAGGTTGGTGACTAAAGGCAATCTGTATTACTGAGTAGATAAATTATGATGTCCAAGAAAGTGTAATAAAGATTAAGAACTTGCTGTTGTGTACTTTAAGTAATATAAACGAAACATCAAAGGAGCTTTGTGGAAGCACAAGAAAACAATGGACACAGAGCAAACAAAGATGTTCTTAGAAGTGGTGACCAGTCACTTCTTCAAAGAGGAGGATTTCAAAAGGTGGAAAGTTTGAAAGACGGGTAGGTAATTCCAGAATGTGGGGTTTAGATGGCTGAAAGTAAGGTCTACAATGGTAAGGAGAAGTGAAACCAGAATCAGTGAAATGGTGACACAAAGGTGGTGCAAAACTGGGATTGTGGCCATGAAATTGCGAATTCTAAACATGGAATGTTCTGAGGCCAGGAGCCAGTTGGCAAGGGCTGAAGTTATGTGCAAGCAGAATCCGATGTGGGATAGGATATGAATGGCCGAGTTTTGGATAACCTGAAGTTAAGAACATAAAGTATACAAGCAGCTGTAGGCTATTCAATATGATCATGATTGATATTCTACAATTTCACCTTTCTGCATTATCCTTATATCTCTTAATTGTCTTAGTAGCAAAGCAAAGTCTTGAATATATTGAGACTGAGCATCACAGCTCTCTCAGGTATTCAATTCCAAATATTCACAAATGAATTAAGAATTTTCTTCTCATTCCTACATAATCAATCCCTTATCCTGAGATTGCAATCCCATGTTCTAGATTTCTGAACAGAGAGAAGACCTTTTCAGCATTTTTTTTTTATTCATTTGTGGGATGTAGGCGTCGCTGGCTGGCCAGCATTTCTTGCCCATCCCTAGTTGCCCTTGAGAAGGTGCTGGTGAGCTGCCTTTTTGAACCGCTGCAGTCCTCCTACTGTGGGTTGACCCACAATGCTATTAGGGAGGGAATTACTAACCCCCAGACGTTAGTGAGGAGGACTTTGCATGGTTGATGGGGCTATTTCTGCCGTTGTCTTTCCCAGTGTCTAGTTCGATGCCAGGTGATCCATCCAGTTCCTTTTCTTTGAGTCTTTGTAGTGATTGGTACATCTGAGTGGCTTGCTAGGCCATTTCAGAGGGCAGTTGAGAGTCAACCACATTGCTGTGGGTCTGGAGTCACATGTAGGCCAGACTCGGTGAGGGTGGCAGATTTCCTCCCCTGAAGGACATTACTGAATCAGATGGGTTTTTCCGACAATCGGCAATGATTTCATGGTGATCAGTAGATTCTTAATTCCAGACTTTTTTTTTGAATTCCAATTCCACCATCTACACTGATACATCCTTTAAAAATTTTCATGTTTTGGTTAAATAATCTCTCATACTTCTAACCTATCGGGAACAGTTTTAATCTTCTCAATGCCTCTTTACTGTACAACTTCTTCATCCCAGGAACCGGTCTGGTGAAGCATAATTGCACCCTCTCAAGGGCTAGAATGTCATTCTATGGGTTACAAAACCAAAATTACACATAGTTCTCCCAGACATGGTCTTACCAGTGCTATATATAATTGTAGCAAGGCTTCTTTACTCTTCTATTTCTTATGTGACAAAAGCTAACTTACCAATTACCTTCCTAATTGCTTATTATATATGCATGTTAACTTCCTGTGCTTTTATAAGGTTGAAGGATGTGCACCTGAATAGTTGGGTCTGAAGATGACAAATACATCAATGAGACTTTTCAGCAGATGAGCTGTGGGCAGGGCCGAAGACAAATTACATTACAGAAGTGACTTTAAGTAGTCCTTGCCGTGATCTAACCAAAACCTTGCACAACTATAGCAATCCTCCTCATTCTTGTTCTTTTTCAAAAAAAAGGACATTCGATTTCCTGACAGCTTGCTACATTTGCATATTAAGTTTCTCTGGTCCTTGTAACAGCATACTCAAATCTCTTTGAACATCAACAATCGAAAATTGCATGCTTTCAAAAAATATTCTCCTTTTCATTCTTACTACCAAAGCGAAAAAACCTCGCATTTTCCCACATTCTACTCCATCTGCTAACTTGCTGTCCACTCAATCTGTGCGAAGTAAGGTGTGTGATTTATGCATACTAATATTAGTTATTTTAGAGTTTAGATTTTGAACTAGTGGCATGTCAGTTTTAGGCTACACGTATGAGTGGTTTAATGATTAATGACCAACTTGTAAGTCTTTCTGGAGCCATGATTTTAAACTAATATGTATCCAAAAGCAGCTGACTAGGGGTCCTCCCAGAGTAATAGGGGAAATTTGTATTGTGAAAATTTTACAATCAGAGAGACAAAACATTGAAAAACATTTGGTTGCTTTTGTTTAGAAGAATTGTTTTAGCTTAGCTTAGCTTATCCAGAGACTGGAAAACTTTTAGGCAGCTTATAAATGAAAGGACTTAGTTCAGAACAGTTAGAAAATAGTTACCTCAATATAACGGTTTTAATTTGGTAAATTCTAGATCAGAAATGTTTGGTCAGAACTCTGAAGGGGTTACTTGAAGCTAAGGAATTTTAAGCTAAGTGATGCGATAATCAAGAAAGAGGCTATCAAGCTCTGATGACCGGGAATTGAAGGAAACAGTTAAGTCTAACCATTAGATGTGATAGAAAAGAGAACGGTCCCTAGTATTTGCGTACTGTAAAGTGATAGTGTTGGAAGCAGATTTCCCTGTATTTTGTTCTGCCATGTATTTCAAAATCTTTCAGATTGTGTTATATGTAAATAGCTTGGTTTGATCTATTTTATCTTCATTTGTTCTGTATAATAAACTTCTCTTATTGTTAAAGGGTTTAAACTAGTGTGGCAGGGGGATGGGAACCAGAGGAGTAGGGCAGTAGATGCAGAAATTGAGGGAGAGATAGAGACCAAGGCAAAGATGACTAAGAACAAGAACAGGCAGGGAACGCTGCTGAAAAGAGCTGAGGAGGTGGTCTGAAATGCATGTCTTTCAAAGCGAGAAGAATAATAAGCAAGATAGATGAATTTAGAGCTTTGGTCAACACTTGGAACTATGACATTATTGCGATTACAGAGACTTGACTGAAAGAGGGACAGGTCAGGCACCTGAATGTCCCAGGATTTAGATGTTTCAGGAGTGATAGAAAGGGAAGTAAAAGAGGTGGGCGAGTTGCATTACAGTAAAGGAGTATCTCATAGTTGTACTGAGGGAGGATACATCAGAGGATTTGTGCAGTGAGGCAATATGTGTAGAGCTTAGGGTTAGGAAAGGTAAAATCACAATAAAAACCGAAAGTACTGCGGATGCTGTAAATCAGGAACAAAAACAAAGTTGCTGGAAAAGCTCAGCCGGTCTGGCAGCATCTGTGAAGGAAAGAACAGAGTTAACATTTCGAGTCTGGTGACCCTTGCTCAGAACTGATGGTGACTGGGAAATCGTCAGTCTATATGCAGAAAATAGGGGGGTGGATGGGGTAGGGAGTAAACGATAGGATAGAGCCCAAAGAGAGAGAAAGACAGTTGGACAGACAAAAGAGTTGCTAATGATTAGGCTGGGAGGGTGAATAGTTGTTAATGGGGACTGTTAATGACTAACAACAGGAGGTGTGTAATGGCAGGCTATGTGGTAGCAAGAACAAAGTTGCTGGAAAAGCTCAGCAGTTCTGAGGAAGGGTCACCGGACCCGAAACGTTAACTCTGTTTTCTCCTTCACAGATGCTGCCAGACCTGCTGAGCTTTTCCAGCAACTTTGTTTTTGTTCCTGATTTACAGCATCTGCGGTTCTTTTGGTTTATATGTGGTAACAAGGCCTGGTGTGTGGGGTAGGGGGCTGCGACATGAGACAGTTTAGGCCCTAAAATTATTGAACTCAATATTGAGTCCGGAGGGCTGTAGGGGCCCCAAGCGGAAAATAAGGTGTTGTTCCTCCAGCTTGCGTTGGGCTTCGCTGGAACACTGCAGAAAGCCAGAGACAGAGATGTTGGCCAGGGAGCAGGGTGGTGTGTTAAAGTGGCAGGCAACAGGTATTTCAGGGTCTTTTTTGCGAGCAGAACGTAGATGTTCTACGAAGCGGTCGCCAAGTCTACATTTCGTTTCCCCAATGTAGAGGAGACCACATTGTGAGCAGCAAATGCAGTAGACTAGATTCTGGGAAGTGCAGGTGAAGTGTTGCTTCACCTGGAAGGTATGTTTGGGCCCTTGGATACTGGGGAGGGAGGAGGTAAATGGGCAGGTGTTGCACCTTCACCGGTTACAGGGGAAGGTGCCGTAGGGCTGTGGGGAGGTGATGGGGATGAAGGAAGTGTGGACTAGGGTGTCCCTGAGGGAACGGCTCCTGCGGAAGGCGGACAAGGGAGGGGAGGGGAATACGTGTCTGGCAGTGGCATCTCGCTGGAGGTGGCGGAATTGGCGTCTGATGATCTTCTGGATGTGGACGCTGGTGGGATGGTAGGTGAGGATAAGGGGAACCCTATCGCTGTTGCGGGAGGGAAGAGAAGGGGTGAGGGTGGAAGTGTGGGAGATGGGTCAGACTTGGTTGAGGGCCCTGTTGAGCTGGGGAATCCTCGGTTGAGGAAGAAGGTGGACATTTCGGAGACTCCCTTGTTGAAGCTGGCCTCATCTGAACATATGCGACAGAGACGGAGGAACTGAGAGAATGGGATGGAGTCTTTACAGGAAGTGGGGTGCGAGGTGGTATAGTCCAGGTAGCTGTGGGAGTCAGTGAGTTTGTAGTGGATATTAGTGGCCAGTCTATCCCCACAAATGGAAACAGAAATGTCAAGGAAGGGAAGGGAGGAGTCAGAGATAGACCAGGTGAATGTGAGGGCAGGGTGGAAATTGGAGGCGGAATTGATGAAGTTTTCCAATTCCAGAAGAGAGAGGGAAGCAGAACTGATGATATCATTGATATATCGGCGAAAGAGTTGTGAGTGGGGGCCGGAATAGGACTGGAACAACGAATGTTCCACATACCCCATGAAGAGACAGGCATGCGAGTACCCATTCCAACCCTTCTTACCTGAAGAAAATGAGAGAAGTTAAAACAGAAGTTGTTGAGGGTGAGGACAGGCTCAGCCAAGTGGAGGAGGGTGGTGGTGGGTGGGGATGATTCAGGTCTCCGCTCCAGAAAGAAGCAGAGAGCCCTAAGACCCTCCTAGTGGGGAATGGACGTGTAAAGGGATTGCATGTCCACAGTGAAGAGGAGGTGGCTAGAACCAATAAACTGGAAGTTTTGAAACCGGCGTAAGCCATCAGAGGAAGCACGGATATATGTGGGTAGGGATCGGGCCAGTGGGGAGAAGACTGAGTTGAGCTAGGAAGAGATGAGTTCTGTGGGGCACGAGCAGGCTGAAACAATGGGTCTGCCCGGACAGTCCTGTTTGTGGATTTTTGGCAGGAGGTAGAAACGAGCTGTGCGGGATTGGGGGACAATTAGCTTGGAAGTGGATGGGGGGAGATCACCAGATGAAATGAGATCAGTTACCGCAGTGGATACAATGGCCTGATGTGCCATGGTGGGGTCATGGTCCAGGGGAAGGTAGGAGGAGGTAACTGAGAGTTGGCGCTCAGCCTCTGCAAGGTAGAGGTCAGTACGCCAGACTACAACAGCACCACCCTAATCGGCAGGCTTAATGACAAAGTCAGGGTTAGATCTGAGTGCACGGAGCGCAGTCAGTTCGGAGGGAGATAGGTTGGATTTGGTGAGGAGGGCAGAGAAATTGAGGCGACTAATATCACATCGACAGTTCTCAATGAACAGATTGAGTGCAGGTAAAAGGCCAGAGGGAGGGGTCCAGGTGGTGGGAGAGTGTTGGAACTAGGCAAAGGGGTCTGTGGAACGGGAAGAGGACTCTTGTTCAAAGAAATGAGCAGGGAGGCAAAGACGGTGGAAGAAGTGTTCGACATTATGTCGTGCCCGAAATTCGTTAAGGTGGGGACGCAGAGGAGTGAAGCTGAGGCCTTTGCTGAGTACAGAACGTTTAGCATTGGAGAGCGGACGGTTAGGAGGGATGGTGAATACCTGACAGGAGGTGGGATTGGGAGAGGGGATGGAGTCAGGGCGAAGGGCAGGAGAGGAAGATTCCAGAGATCCATGGGTATTTTTGAGTTGTTGCATCTTGTGGCCCTTGTGATGCCTGAAAGGAAATCACAATGCTGCGGGTATATTACAGGCCTCCCAACAGCCAGCGGGAGATAGAGGTGAGAATATGTAGACAGATGTAAAAACAGCAGGGTTGTTGTGGTGGGTGATTTTAACTTCTCCTATATTGACTGGGACTCACTTCACATAGGGGCTTGGATGGGGCAGAATTTGTAAAGACCATTCAGGAGGGTTTCTTGACACAATATGTAAACAGTTCAACGAGGGAATACTGGACCTGGTTTTGGGAAATGAGCCTGGAGAGGTGAGTGAAGTTTCAGTGGGGTAGCATTTCGGGAGTAGTGACCATAATACCGTAAGTTTTAAGATACTCATGGATAGGGAAAACAGCAGTCCTTGGGTGAAGGTGTTAAACTGGGGAAGACAAACTACAACAATATTAGGCAGAAACTGGAGAGTTTTGATTGGAAGCGGCTGTTTGAAAGTAAATCCACATCGGACATGTGGGAGTCTTTCAAACGGCAGTTGAAACTGGACAGTTTGAAAGGAGTTCAGGAGTGGCATGTTCCTGTGAGAAAGAAGGACAGGTATGGCAAGTTACATGAACCTTGGATGACCAGGGATGTTACGTCCTTGGTCAAAAAGAAAAAGTAAGCATATATAAGTCTAAGAGGATGGGAACAGACGATGCCTTTGAAGTATATAAGGAAAGTAAGAAAGAACTTAAACAAGGAATTGCTCAAAGGGGTCATGAAAAGTCATTAGCAAACTGGATTAAGGAGAATTCTAAGGCTTTTTACACATATATAAAAAGCAACAGGGTAGCCAGGGAAAGGGTTGGCCCATTCAAGGACTAAGGAGGGAATCTAAGCATGTAGCCAAAAGAGGTAGATGAGGTCCTAAATGAATACTTTGTGTCGCTATTCACCGAAGAGAAGGAATTGGCCGAGGAAGGGAGTGTTGAATTTCAAGGCCAAGTTGCTATTAAAAAGGACGAGCTGTTGTGTGTCTTAAAAAGTATTAAGGTAGATAAAACGCCAGGTCCTGATGAAATCTATCCCAGAATATTGAGGAAAGCAAGAGAACAAATTGCTGGAGCATTGACAGTAATCTTTATATCCTCTTTGGCCAGAGGTGAGGAATAGCCAATACTGTCCCATTGTTTAAGAAGGATAGCAAGGATAGTCCAGGAAATTACAGGCCTGAGAGTCTCACGTTGGTGGTAGGGAAATTATTCGAAATGATTCTCAGGGACAAGCTCTAAATGCATTTAGATGCGAATGGACTTATTAGTGATAGACAGCATGGTTTTGTGCAGGGGAGGTTGTGCCTCACTAACTTGATCGAGTTTTTTGAGGAGGTGATGAAGATGATTGATGAGGGAAAAGTGGTTGATGTTGTCTAAATGGACTTCAGTAAAGCCTTTGACAAGGTCACTCGTGGCAGACTGGTACAAAAGGTGAAGTCACATGAAATCAGGGGTGAGCTGGAAAAATGGATACAGAACTGGCCCAGTCATAGGAGATAGAGAGTAGCAGTGGAAGGATGCCTTTTGGAATGGAGGGCTGTGACTAGTGGTGTTCCACAGGGATCAGTGCTGGGACCTCTGCTGTTCGTGGTCTACATAAATGATTTGGAAGAAAATGTAGCTTGTCATTTAGTAAGTTTGCAGATGATACAAAGATTGGTAGAGCTGTGGATAGTGAGGAGGATTGTCAGAGGATACAGCAGGATATAGATTCATTAGAGGTATGGGCAGAAAAATGGCAGATGGAGTTTAATCTGGACAAATGCGAAGTGATGCATTTTGGAAGGTCAAGTACAGGTGGAAATTATACAGTGAATGGCAGAACCCTTAGGAGTATTGATATGCAGAGGGATCTAGGTGTGCAGGTCCACAGATTACTGAAGGCAGCAGTACAGGTAGATAAGGTAGTAAAAAAGACCTATGGCATGCTTGCCTTCATTGGAAGAGGCATTGAGTATAAGGATAGACAAGTTATGCTTCAGCTTTGTAGAACTTTAGTTAGGCCACACTTCTAACTATTGCGTACAGTTCTGGTCACTACAATACCAGAAGGATTGGATGTTTTGGAAAGGGTACAGAAAAAGTTTACCAGGTATACCAGGTTGCCTGGTATGGGGGATTTTAGCTATGGAGAAAGGTTGCATATACTGGGTTTGTTTTCATTGGAATGCAGGAGGTTGAGGAGCGACCTGATAGACATTTATAAGATTGCGAGTAGCCTGGATAGAGTGGAAAGTATGAGACTTTTTCCCAGGGTGGAGGGGTCAGTTACTAGAGGACACAGGTTGAAGGTACGGAGTGAGGGGGAAGTTCAAAAGTCAGTTAAGGCAAGTTTTTCACACAAAGGGTGGTGAGTGCACTGCCAGAGGTGGTGGTGGAAGCTGATATGATAGCAACATTCTAGAAACACCTAGACGACTACATGAATAGGAAGGGAACAGAGGGATACAGATCCTGCAAGTGAAGACAGTTTTAGTACAGAAGGGCAAAATGTATTGGCGCAGGCTTGGAGGGCCAAAGGGCCTGTTCCTGTGTGGTATTGTTTTTTGTTCTTTGAATGCAGCATAGATAGGTGGCAGCAGACATAGCTGAAAGGATCATTCAAAAATTTTGAGACAAAGTTCATGAAATCTTTGTACTTATTACAGTGGAAGAGTGAGGCCATGTGAAGAGTTTGAGTTACTGTTTCACTGTGGAGAAAAGTAGTTGTGATTGTTCTTAGGTCTCAAAATAACTCTAGAATAATGAAGTGACTTGACTGTGGAGAGGAACTGCAATGTTGCAAAAATTTGGCTTATGCATTTTGAGTAATGGATAACAAGACCAGTAACACTTCTGATGTCCTCTAATTTGCAGACCGCAGACCTTCAAATGGTGAAATGAAATCTGAAAACTACAGCACACCTTAAGTGTTACTGCTCTTGTTATCCACTGCAAAATCTGACTAAAGCACTTTGAGCAAATTGCAATTTTGGAGGTCTTACAGACAAGGAGTTACTTATTTGGATAAAAAGGAAGACAAGATCTGAATGAGTGGAAAGCCAGAGGAGGGATGCTGAAAAGCAAGAATACATTTGTTAAAGCGACTGAAAAATCAATTGTATTAATGTTTTAAGTAGTTCCGACAGGTAGCTTAAAATGTTTTGTTTGCTATCCACTCCTGAAATATTTTGATTAAATGCTCAATTAAAATAATAAAAATAACAATTCTTCTTCCTAAGTGTTTACTAGCTTTCAAACCTCTCAGCATTTATTCCATTCCAATCTACTTCCAACCAAATAAATTTCCATGAAATGTGCAGGATCATTTCAGGGCTACCTATCACAATAAAAGTTTTTAAAATGTTACGCAAATGTCCCTTAAAAGACAGATATGCACTTGTAGCAAAATTAATTTCAGTTTCTACAATTCCAAAGTTAAAGGATATGAGTAAGACTCTTGTCATGATTGTTCATTGCCATTTGTAGTTGGTCTTCCAAACAGAGCAGTTTGTGACTAATTGTTTCACACTGTACTTCTATGTCCACTGCAGAATCCTTGTAAGTAATCTATAAAAACACAAAAATACATAGTTGTGTGAACCGTGTTACTCAATGTTTGAGAACATTTTTATCCTTTATTAAAACAATCCTAATTACATCTAATCAACCTCTTCAGAAATGTTATTGCACACCTTTAGAGCAGTTGGGACCTGAATGGTGAGTATGTTTTTTTTTAAGTTAACTTATTTTTCTGATCTACCTGTTCAGAGATGTTATTACATACTCCTGGAGCAGGTAGGACTTGAACGGTGTACATGCTTTTTTTATTTAGCCTATTTTTCTAATCAACCTGTTCAGAAATGTAATTATACACCTCTGGAGCAAATGGGGCTTGAACGCAGGCCTATCTGTTTAAAGATGTTATTACATACCACTGCTGCAGTTGGGACTTGAACCGGGGCCTTCAAGTAGGGGTAGGGACACTACCATTGTGCCACAAGAGGGTTCTGCTATGCACTTTTAAAAATATTTTTAATTTAACCTATTTTTCTAATTAACCTGCTCAGAAGTGTTATTACACACCCCTGGAGCAGGTGGGACTTGAAGCCAGGCCTCTGGGTCCAGCCGTAGGGACACTACCACTGCACCACAATAGGGCTGCTAGGCATGAGCAGGGATCAAACTTGCAATTTTGGATTTACGAGACTAACAGCTTCCCACTTAACCAATGCATCAATGCAGATTTTCATGTTCTTATGTGTGTGTGTAGTTAACACTTTGCACTTGTGAGACCACAACTGCAAGGCACCACCTGCTCAATCTGACTGGCATCATCACAGACAGGGTTCATACAAGTCAAACAACCAGACACTTGTTATGATGCATTTGTGGCTCAATGACTGCAATTCTCAAATATATCTCTAGCAGAAATGTTGAGGGTAGTGATAATATTTCCTTTAATTTTTCTTTGCTGTGTATGGTTTGTTTCTTGTACTGTGCAACGTCTTTAAGAATATTAAGAGCCAGGCATGTGGATATCTTAAAAGGAACATTGGTTATGAACAACTGGTATATGTTCCATGTCTCAGAGGCAACACTGGGCAGTGGTCAATCTAATAGCCACTGATAATACCTGCTCATCAGGTCTAGCAGTGAGCAAGCCTTCTTTCAGCACACTGCAGATGTCTGGAACCAACAGAATTGACAAACTAGTCTTCATAAATCATCACGGTTCCAAACCTTGCTTCTACCTGTATACTGTGGTGTTCAGCTCTGAGACTCTGGACAGTCAGCTGCTTTTGGTCCGATCTTAAATGTCTACCACTGATCGTGCAACAGTAAGCTGCTGATGTATAGTCCATAACCTAGGTCCAATGTAAAGCAGCCACAATTCCATTTATTCTGATATGGCTCATAAAATCAAAAGAAACTACCGTCAGCAGAAGAATTGTGAACAAGTCTTTGATTAGCATGAGAATTCCACTATAATCAGAAATTTTTCAGTATAGGATCAAGAACATTGCTTTTTTTAATATTTCTGTGGAGTACAGAAGCTATTTGTTTTAATTAGGTCTGCGCTTGCAATACCAAAGCAAACAAGCTTATTGGCCAAGTGCTGGGAAATGGGATTAGAATATCTAACACAACAAAAACAGAAGTTGCTGGTAAAGCTCAGCAGGTCTGGCAGCATCTGTGAAGAAAAAAATCAGAGTTAACGTTTCGGGTCCAGTGAACCATCCTCAGAACGAATATCTAGGTGCTTGTTTTGGACCAATGGAGACACAGTGGACCAAAGGGCCTTTTTCTGTGTTGTAGACTTCCTTGATAATCAGTGCATAACTACAGCAAAATACTGTGGATGCTGGAAATCAAAAATAAAAACACAAAGTGCTAAAGAAACTCAGCAGGTCTGGCAGCATCTGTGGAGGGAATAAAAGTCTTGAATCCAGTATGACTCTTCTTTGGAACAAAGTCAGTTCCAAAGAAGAGTCATATGAGACTTGAAACATTTCTCCACTTTGAGGTTCCTGTCCTTTTAGCCTCTCAATTACCACCTCTCTGGTCTCTTCTGGCAGCAAGTCCAACATGGTTTTCAGCTGATGGCTGAACATTAAGGAGGCTGGCGAGCAGCGGGTCGTCGTGTGTGGCGTGTTATGGTACATGCTGCGGAACTAATTGATTTGCCATTCTAACGAATCCTCCCTTTGGGAGGCTTTCAAAGCTTGCTTCAGGATCTGTATAAATCCCTCCACCTGGCTAATTGTCACCAAGTGGTACGGAGCCAATCTCACCCGTCTGACTCTATGTTATTCCAGGTACTCTCCGAGCTCTTTCATCATAAACTGTGGACCACTGTCATTCACCACTTGATTGAGGGTCCCGAACCTGGCAATATTTCATCCAGAGATAGTAGCAACTGCAGATGCTGGAGAATCTGAGATAACAAGGTGTAGGGCTGGATGAACACAGCAGGCCAAGCAGCGTCATAGGAGTAGGAAGGCTCACAGCAGGCCAAGCAGCATCATAGGAGTAGGAAGGCTCACAGCAGGCCGATGCTGCTTGGCCTGCTGTGTTCATCCAGCTCTACACCTTGTTATCTCAATATTTCATCCAGTCGGTCTTTCAGTGCTTCTGCTGATACGGACTTCATAACCGCCATCTCGGGCCACTTGGAATGAGCATCCACGACCACTAGTAACATCTGTTCCTGTATTGGCCCCGTAAAATCGACATGAATCAGCTGTCATGGTGATTGAGGCAATTCCCATGGGCGAAGGGTGACAATTGCAGTGCCTTCCTTACTAATGCACAGGATTCACATGATTCTCAGTCCAATTTCTCCTCGACCTGGGCTTCGACATTTGGCCACCAAAAGTAGCTACTGACTATTTCTTTCATCCACACCAAATCAGGGTGCCGTTGATGCACTTGTTCCAGCACCTTTCCTATTAAAGGGGAGGAATAACAAATATCATTCCCCACATTAAACACCCGTCTGAGATGGACAACTCCCAACTATTGCACGGGTAAAGGAGTATTTCTGGCTGGTTGCTATGACTGGTCCCCGCTGTCAGGACTAGGTCCCTCACTTGGCTCAAAACCAGGTCATTCCAAGTAGCGTTCTGCACCTGATTCGCTGACACTGGCACCTTGTCATCCTGGGAAAAGTACATAATTTTCAGGTCGCAGTCAGGATCATCTGGATCCCCCATTATTGGAAGACTTGAGAACGCATATGGACTTCCATAGTTCTCCATTTGTCAGTTTCTGATTGCATATGAGTAGGCTGACAGAGCCAGTACCTATCTCTGCAGGCATGCTGCTGCCATTGATGGTATTCTTGTAAATGGGCCAAAAATGAAAGTTAGCATCCTGTGGTCAGTCAGTAGCACTAAGTGCCTGCCATAAAAGAAATGGATGAACATCTTAATGCCGAACACAATGCTCAAACCTTCTTTCTTGACTTGAGCATAACTTTTCGCCGACTTTGTTGGTGACCTCGATGCAAATGCTATAGGCCTTTCCTCTCCATTCGGTGAGATGTACGACAGAATAGCACCAACCCCAAAAGGCAAGATGTCTCATACTAACTGCAGTGGTAACCTCGGTTAAATGAATTAAAATTTCCGACCTTTTTAAGACGTGCTTTACCTTCCAGTAAGTCTCCTCACAACCCAAGGTCCACTGCCTTGGCCGCCTTTTCCCCAACAACTGATGAAACATTTTTAGTACAGTTGCCAGATCCAAGATGAACTTGCCATAATAATTAACAAGTCCCAAGAAAGATCTTGGTGGAGACACGTTCTCTGATCTAGGGCCCTACATAATGGTCTCTACCTTCCTGGGTATCTTCTGTAGACCCTCTGCATCAATTACATAGCCCAGCTCCTCAATGGAGTCCCTAAAAAGCTCACGTTGCTCCCTTTTTATCCGTATGCTGTGGTCCTGCAACCTTTTCACAGTTTCATCAAGGTTTCTCAAATGCTCCTCTTTGGAGGCGCCTGTGACCAAAATATCACCCAGATGACAGTGGACTCCAGGCAACCCACTTAAGATTTGGTCCATGCCCCTCTGGAATAGAACTGGTGTTGACATGATGCCAAAAGGAAGGCGCTTATGGCAGAAAAGTTCCCTCTGTGTTACTATCATCAGTGCTAATACTTCCGCTTTTTCATTGTGAAGACTGATGCAAAATATTCTTTGAGGACTCTGCCAATGTCTTCCAGGTCCACTCAGATTATCAAATATGGTCCCTAATTTGCCTTCGTCTTCTTCTAGTTATACATTTGCTCTTTATATATTTAAAAATAAACACTGCATGTTTTTTCGTTCTACCTGCCTTTCTGCCACTCCTTTTGCATTCCTAATCTCCTTTTCAAACACCCTGCTGAACTTTTATACTCCTCTGGGGATGCTGCCATATTGAACTCTCAGCATCTGTTATAAGCTTTTTCGTCTCAATCCTAACCTTTACATCCCTTTACATCTTTGATCTTAGTCCCGCCCTTTGTCTTTACAGGAACATATTTCCCCTGTAGTCTTGGTATTTCCTCCTTGATTGCCTCCCACTGGTCTGATACAATTTTAACTGCAAGTAACTGCTCCCTGTCCACTTGGACCAAATCTATCTTATCTTAGTAAAACGGGCCTTTCCCAGTTTAGACCTTTTATTTCTGGTTTGTCCTCGTCCTAAATCCAATTGATTTATGGTCAGTATACTCAAAATGTGTCTGTAATTATAGGCCTTCCACCTCCTCTGGCTCATTTCCGATTATTTGGTCCAGAACTGCCACCAGTCTTGTTGGGTTTTCTATCTATTGGCTAGAAAAGGTCTTCTGAATTTTGTTCCCTCCCGACTTTGCATTCAAACTATTGCACTTAATAGTTAAAATCGCTTACTATAATTGCTTTATTATTCTTATACTTCTCTGAAATTTGACTCACTATCTCTCCCTGACTGGGGGTCTATAGTACACACCCAATATCATGTTTGTCCTTATTTGGTTTTTAACTTCTACTCCTATGGTCAAAATTGATGAACCTTCCAAGATATCATCCCTTTTACA